TTCTTTCCTCCTCCCGCACCGTCTCTTTCCTTTCGCCCTGCATCTTGCGAGAAGCTGTCTACTTAATCAGTGCCGGGGGCTGCCTTGCGGAGCCTAGAACACTGCAGCAGGGGGGCGCTTGCCCCAGAGAAGCCCCGGCAGGATGACCCAGTCCCACCGTGCGCAGGGAGGCCACCCGGGAAAGAAAAGGCCCCCTCCGTGCCCCCGTGAGCCATCCCGGGTTCTTGTGCATCAAGGAAGCTGGCGCAGGCTGCACCAGCCGATGTCGGTGCCGGAAGGGGCATTTTCCCTGCGCTGCGAAAGAGGCACCTCATACTGAAAGAGCGCGGCCGTTTGGAAGACCCTGCCCGTGTCCGTCGTCGTCTTCTGCCCTTGGCAGTGATCTTCATCGCCTGCTGGTTTAGGGGCCAAGACCAGCTGAAAAGCAGCATTCATATGCACTAAACTAAATGCAGGAGTGCAGCGACGGCTGCAGCTCGGCAGCCCCACTACCGGGAACGTCTTCCCAGTGCCGCACGGAACACCTGAAATGAATGAATGAATGAATGAATGAATGAATGAATGAATGAATGAATGAAGGGTGCGAAGGCACACTCCATCATGGGCACCCTTGATCTGCCTCGATCAAAGGCCGAACCTGTTCCCGTCCCTCTGAAGTGGCTGGGTCTTCTAGGGCAGAGGGTATGACTGGATGCACAGCACCTTCCTGGAAGTTGATCAAAGCCGCCTGCCCTGGTGTGGCGTTTGTCGGTGCACCGAGGACCGAGGAGTGCTGTGTTTGCAGGGCTCAGAACGGGCTGCATTTTGTTTTCTTCTAGAAGAAGCGTTCTGTATAACGCAAACGGCTGACCACATTGGCAGAGAACAGTGTGGGAAATAAGATCAGCACGGCTTATTCTATGATTTAAGAACATACAAACAGAAGAGCAGCCCTGCGGGATCAGACCAAGGCCCATCCGGCCCAGCACTCTGTACACACGGTGGCAAACCAGCTGCCCCAGGATCCCCCCAGCAGGACGGGGGCAAGACCTCCTCCTGCCCAAGCCCCTCAGCAACCGGTGCTGTGCAGGCAAGCGGCCCTTAGTAACGGAGGCGGCCCACAGACAACAAGGCTGGTAGCCACTGGTAGCCTCCTCCTCCTCCATAATTTTATCTTACACATTTTTTACACATTACAAAATCCCTCCGGGGAAGACCCTTCTGTTTATGAATTCACTCGGATCTCCCATGCGGACCGTTGTATGCAATGAGCGGAGTTTTGCTCCAGGGCACCATGTTTTCCCTAGGGTACAAAAGAAAAAACCTCCCAGTAGGTACATTTGCAAGCTGGCCAGGCATGATGGGAGTTGTAGTTCTACTGTGCTGCCTCCAGAGGAAGCCAGACTTGGGGAAGCCCGGCCCAGGAACCCTGTGGGATCAGGCTAAGTATTTGCTGTAAACTGTCCAGAAAGCTTCAGCTGTACAGGGTGGGATAGAAAGGAAACAAGTAATGTCTATCAGGTCCAGCCTCCGGTTTTCTATGGGGTCCAGCCAAATGACTTTTGGGAAGCTCACGAACTGCCCTTTCTGTGCCCCCGCCCTTTGGAGTTCCATATCACGCATCTTTCAACATGGAAGGTACTGCTTAGCTCACGGCCGATGTGCCCCTGCTCCACCACGGATGGGTCCAACCCATCCAAAAAGGCATGAGGAGTGTCCGTCACAACACCTTGTGGCAGTGAGTTCCATGCGTTATCTATGCAGAACCCGTAGCCCTGGTTCCCCTCATGGATATCCCACAGTCTCAACAGCAGGACCCATCTTGTCTCCTCTCTGCTTCTTGGCCACTGCGTCCCTGCTTTTTTGGAGTGGGAGAGTTTGGCTTTTAAAGACTCCGAGCTGACCGATACGGTCAGCCTCTTCGAAGTTCCCAAGTTACACCTTGATGGTGCTGCCATAAAAAACAAAACAAAAACCAACACCCCAATTTTATGTCCTTTTCAAGGACTGCTTCCCTATACCTGTGTCAGTGTCACTGGTCTGGGCTCAGACCACATGACAACCCATCACAGGTACAAAACTGCTCTCTTTGCCTCGGGCCAACCGACAGTCAGTCAGTCGGGTGACCTTGGTAATGATGGGCACCAATTTGGACAGCTTTAAAAGGAGACTGGACAAATTCATGGACCACAAGACTATTCATGGCTACTAGTCCTCATGAACATATACTCCCTCCCTTAGCAGAAGCAGTGTGCCTGTGCATACCATTTTCTAGGGACCAGAACAAGTCACGGCTATTGCTTTCCTGGGTTGCTTATGGCCTCCCCACCGGCAGCTGTTTGGCCCTTCTGGTCTCATCTAGCATGGCCCTTAGCATACTGAGAAAGGGAGCAAAAAGCCTCTTTGTTCACTCTCTTATCATCATCAGGTCAAATGGTCTTTTTTCAGGTAAATGGACAGCTGTTTATTAAAGCAGGCAGGAGAGCTGGGCCTGCCCACAGTTGCCTCTTCTGACAGTCGTTTTCTTCTCCCCTGCCCCCATTCCTGGCTTATTTTGAAATGAAGGCCCTTCGTGGGCTCAGCGCCGTGTGAAATAGCAGGATGAGGGAGAGAAGGTTTTCTCTGGATTTGGACAGCTTGCCTTCGCATGATCTCGGGGCATCCATGACCGGCGCTCACATTCCTCGGATTCGGGCTAAGGGCGCACAGGTCAGAGGGGACGAATTTATGGCACACGAGGGGCCTGGCATCTTGGAAAATCTGTTTTTACATTCCTGAATGAATAGGTCGCTTCCGAGCAAACGGCAAACCAGGGTTTGTGCTGCTAACTGTAGTTTGTACTCAGATCCAACTTTGTTTTTGGCACTTACAGACCAAACCTTGCTTGAAGGATTTTCCTATGCTCTCTTTCCCAAAGACTCCCTGGGTGTTTGCCTCGAAACACACACACACACACACACACACACACACACACACACACACTGGCCTTCAAGGGTAAAAACACACCGTGGCTTACAAACCAGACACTATGGCAAGCCATCATTTGGTGTTACATCCGCACCATCTATTAGATCCCTGGTTTTTCTCAGGACTACAGCGCCTCTTTAATGAAATATGAATGTACATGTGTGTATCTGCATGTTTCTGTGCAAATGCATGTGTGCATGGAAGCGAGCAGGGGGACGGTGCCCACAAGTCACAACTGGCTGAGACTTCTACAAAAACAAGTTCTCGACTGTCTCTCCCCTTCAAGCACTGCGGAAGATGCACAAGCTGCACAGCCTGGGAAGGAAGCGGCATGTAATATGACTTGGATCCCTTTTGATGCCCCGTCTAATCCACACTTCAGCTCTTCCTCCGGATGGCACAGACATTAAGAACCAAATCAGGAACAGGAACAGAATTTGAATCGGTACCCATGTAAAAACAAACTAAGCTAAACCAGCCTTCTCCAACTCACTGCCTGTCAAGAAGTGTGGGACTACAAGCCCCACCATTTGCAGCCAGATGGGACTTGTAGTCCACCATCGCTAGAGGATTGTTGGGCTGGGAAGGCTAGGCTAAAGTATGTGAAGAGTTGCATTCGCCACCAAGGAAGGAAGGAAGGAAGGGAGAAGGCAAAGGCCAAACAGATTGGGCCAGATCCCCCATCTGGTAGAGCAGAAGTCTCTGGAAGGGGAAGGCATGCAGAAGGCTTGCCTCCAATTCCCTCCATCCTAGCAAATGATACTGCGCTTCTGAGCACGGCCAGTCCAAAGAGCCATGGTGGCTTATGGCTCTGACAGACCACTAGCCAACCTCCTGATGCAAAATGGAGAACCAGGGACTCCCATTGAGCTCAGAATGGCCAGCAGGGGATGAGAACATTGCTGGACACAGACAGAGGTGGGGAAACGGACTGGGACATGCAGGTGTTTCTGCCAGCCACCAGTTGCTTGGCCACAGAGGGGTGGGCTGTGGGCTCCACGCAAGATGCAGAATGTGGACTCAGCCGTTAAGCCACAGGCAAGCCACTCTCTCGTGGCCTCACGTGTACAAGTCAGACCATCGCTAAGCCTGGAGCACTTGATTTCTCCAGTGAGAGGGACTGGAGGAGAACGCCTTGGTGGAAGCCATGCGTCTGAAGGGAACGCATTCTCCTTCCCTGAAGAATTCCTGCTTAAAGGAGGGAGGAGGAGCAGGGCGTCCTGCCCCCGTCCAAAGGCAGCCCCCTCTTTTATTCCTGCCAATTTCAGGACTAAGCCCCGGACCTTGCATTTGACTAGAGTGCACAAATGCACAGCCTTACTGGCCTGTTCTTTGACCCTTGCCTGGCAAAGGCTTTGCTCTGCATGCGAGCTGGAAGCCCATCACCCTCTGGGCAACCTCTTGCCCAGCCTTTGCCGAGTTCCCATCCCTGAGGTGGCCACCGAGGAACAGCCAAAGAGGAGGAAATGCACCACCAAAATAGAAGAAAAGAGGGCAGTCATTTATGTAACATGCACCTATGCTGATGCATCTGTGGAGCTGCCTGTTTAGGAATAATTATGATAATTTAAGTAGAAATATGCTCCACGGCACCCTCCTGGAGAAGGCAGCGGCCAGTCCCCGATTTCTGTGCCTGATTATGCCATCTCTTCCTGGGTGGATGGGAAACTGCTCCTGCGGTTCTTCATCTCTGGAGCAGATCTGGGTGACGGCCCTTCAAACCAAGCACGGTCCTCCACAAGAGGCCACTCAGGGCCTCCTTATCAGGAAGCGATCAGCTCCCAGAGAGCTGACAGCTCCCTCAGGCTCGAGCTTGAACTAACCTGTACTCGTTCCGAACACCAGGCCTCAGCTCTGCAACACAGGAAGCGATCGCAAAGCGCACCTCCGAGCATGCACAGAGCATGCACGCCCTCCCTCTGCCAGCGGGCAGGCGCTTCCAGCTCCCGCGCATGGGGGAGGAGGGAGGAGGCCCACCTGCCCGGGGGACCCGGCTCCGAGGAAGCCGGCCCTCCGGCTCGCGTTCCCTTGCCGAGGCCGGCCGAGCGACTTACCCCCCTGCGCTGGTTGCTGAGGCAGAAGGTGCAGATGCTGCGCGGCTGGCCGGCCTCCGCCTCGCCCTTGGCGCCGCAGAGCGCGCTGAAGCAGGGCTGCCCGTCCTCGCAGCCGTCCCCCAGCAGCAGCACGTTGGCCAGGTGCGAGATGTAGCTGGAGGCCAGGCGCAGCGTCTCGATCTTGGAGAGCTTCCGGTCCACGGGCTCCGTGGGGATGAGCGTGCGCAGCGCCGTGAAGGCCGTGTTGACGCTCTGGGTCCGGTCGCGCTCGCGCGCGTTGGCCGCCTGCCGCTGCTTCACCACCACCACCTGCCCGGCCTTGCGGGCCACCTTGCGCCGCCCGTCGCAGCAGCCGAAGGACTGGTCGGAGGCGTCGCTCTCGCTGCGCGTCTCCTCGTCCTCCTCCGACAGCATGTGGAGGTCCGGGTACAGCACGTGGGCGGCCACGGGCCGCAGCATGGCGAAGGCCATGGCGCGGCGCTCCGGCGAGCCGGGCCCGGCTAGCGGCTCTCCGGGCGGCCCGCGGCCGGGCCTTGGGCGGCCGCCCCGCACCCGCGCCCGCGCGCGAAGGCGCTCGCGGC